ATCACACACACACACACACACACACACACACACACACACACACACACACACACACACACACACACACATGCTGGCACGTGCACACCCATACATAGATACTCTCTCACACATTGTTGTTCAATCCTACTTCATCCATTAGATTGTGCTGGATCAATATAAATGAATTCTAGTCGCTACGGACATCCCCCCCCCCCAAAAAAAAAAGGAAAGGGGGAAGATTTGCTTGTTCCATTTGCTTTGTTCAAGTTGATGCTTTCGTGCAATCTTAGATATCTGCAGGAAAAAAAGGAAAATAAAAATAATAATGCAGATAATTTCTATAGCAACCACTCCTGTACAATATGGCTGTGGGTGTTCTACAATACCTTCATTCCAACATCAAACTTCAAACACAAGTGAATAAACATGCATATGTATGCTTTTTAGATTATTGCTAACGCATAAAAGCAAACATTTAAACATTTATACTATCACAGCATAATGGATAATGATATGCACATCACATTTTGAATAAAAGACTATTATGACTGAAAAGGACTATGGCGTAAATATCAAAATAGCATTTCACAAGGTACATTTTGATATGAATTTAAGATTTTGCCTCTGACTTTGTATCCCTCAAATTCAAACGTTTTGGTAGAGAGTTCCAGATGGATGGTGCAAAATGAGAAAAGGACCCCTTGGCGAGTAATAAACCCATCTCCACTTTTACTGTAATCTTTTGTGAGATTGATCCCAAGTACTGGTACAGTACAGCAGAAATTGGAAAGGGAGAAGAAAAAGTCACCCTTTATTGTCTGTACTGATCCTACTTAAGCTTTAACTGAGAGAGGGCTGTACTTTTAAAATAGTCTACTGGTTCAGGCTAAACTTTAAAACAAAAAAAGAGGGGGGCGGTGGGAGTGGGAAGATGAGAGAAAAGAACTACAGTCCTTCTTGAGCTATATCTTGTCAGAAGATGTCAAAAGTAGAAGACAAAAAAGAAAAGGAATGCTAAAAAATGCAACTGATTCCGTCTTCTTTAAGCCTTCATCTTAAGGGGGATCTTTCCCCCCGGAGACATCACACATTGTGTCTTCCCAACAAAGAGCATCCATTATTTATTACGCTCACCGTGCCCTCTGTGGCAGTTCTTGCCACGGCGGTCTTTGCCAAGCAGCCCTCCTTTGATGATTTATTCATGGCACTCACAGATGCCGTGTGCATTCTCACACCCTCTACAACTTTCCCCAATCACGGTTGCTAGGCAGAACAGTACAACAAGTGTTGCTTACCCCACAACCTGCGCAGTCTGGCCTGGACGTTTGTGGTGTAACATCTGTGTCATTTATTGTCATAGGAGGAGCTGTGTGTTCAGAGTTCATATCCATTGTGGAATCAAATACTTCTGAACTGTAACATTTTAATTAAATAAGGAAATACTATACTTTAGATCCGTTATGATAGATGGGAGAACAGCATGCAAGTGTTTCTATAGAGTATTGATTCTGTTGAAGGAAATGGTCAGAATGTGAGCTCAGTGTGCGTCTTCCTTTTGTAAGGACTTACAAATATTCTTTCTCTGAATAAAAAAGACTGCAGCTGTGAAATATATTTAATAACTAACTGAGCAGATGAAAACTGAATTTCTTCACTGGATAAAATAAGATTAAATGCAGGGTTGCCTTTGTGATTTTTGTACCAAGACAGCGTTAGAAGTTTGTGGACCAATTGAAAGAAAAGAATCTTTGTACAGTTTGTTTGCTTCTTGAGAAGTTTTTAGTATAGCACAGCTGTAGGTATCACGAACAGAAAATGTACACATCTCAATGGATCACTGCGGTTGAAAACCGACTGGATCTCAAGAAATTGCCCAAATTAGGTGAACAATTTTCAACACTTTTTTGTTTTCTGAATTTTTATTTTCACTTACATTAGATTGCTTAAAGTTAATCTTTTGTGTTACAAGTAATATAATATTAATGTACAGTGGAAAATGTCTAAGACAACCTGTTTTCTCCTTTACAATGGGTTGCTGTCTTGGAAAATTTTGACTGTGTTATATTGGTGTTGTCGGTGGTCCAGAGATCATTTCATCAGAATTGTGATTAATAGCTTCAACTCCCAACTATTCTGGGTTTAATTTTACAGTCCTTGGGAGGACACTAGACATAATGAATAACTTGTTCTCTCTATTGTCTAATGTGAACATAATACAAGTAGAAGATGTGTAGGAAAAATAGATGAAGATGAAGAAGAAGAAGAAGAAGAAGAAGAAGAAAAGGAAAAGAAAGGTTCTTGGATGGCTTCCTGCTGTCTATCCACTCCCAATTTTTTCCTGTGTCATCATCGTCTTTATCCGTTGCTCGCAAAATGTTGCAGTTGTTGGCTGGCTCACCGCAAACTACTACTCAACTGATGCACATATTTAAACACATACATAGCAAACAGATTTTGAGATTGCTTTTTTTCTATACATGTATTTCTTTGTATACTACGTACACATAAAATTTGCACAAAAAGAAGAGATTTCCATTTCATGCCAATTTCACTGACTTATGCATGCTAGGCTCTTCACTTCTTCCCCATTTTATGATCAGGTGAGGCTAAAATCCAAGGAAGCCGAGCGGGATCAAGAATGGCTCTCCCGATGGCCAAAGCTAATGGCATTAGCCTGACAGATGAGCTCAATGTTCTCCCAACTGGCCGCATGAGTCGTCTGTCTGCCGGGGCTGCGATGAGAATGTCACACGGAGGAGAAGGAATGACAGGGTAGGGACTTGATGTATGCCTTCTCAGAGTAATAAGCGGGTGCTCTGGTGTAGTTTGCTCCTTCTTTTCTGTCAAACATCTGTTGTCCTAATCTATTCTACTTTGGTTTGTATTTTATCTCTCTTGTCACGCCTGTAATCCTCGGCACTTATAAATCCTGTCTGTACTGCAATTACCGTAAAACTGTTACTCACTCTAATTGAGCTTTCTTGTCCTATGTTTGTGACTGAACTAGGGTTAAAATATGCTTTTCTGGTTAGTTCGGAGTTAAGAGAAATAAACTCAATGAAAGTAAAGAAGTGGGATCCACCTGTAGTACCCTGTGACCGCATGCTGAATCGTATATATGACAATTTTGGTAAGTCATAACTGTGGTATAAAAGCCATCACGTCATTCCATTTAAATACTATGTTGTGTAGTCTCACCTGACATGTGTCGTTTTAGTACAGTGTGACTCAGATCCTTTTTTATTTTGATCTCTATAAATTCTAAACTGTTTTCTCTCAATGTTCAGATGTGTTTTTTTACCATTTTACTTTAATAATAATAAAATAATTTCTTATTTCTGGTTCAGATTGAAGCCCCCTACCCCTCCCCGCCTGGCTCCTCTCCACCGATCTCGCAGCCTCGAGAACTTACAGAACGACCCCAACGCTCCCATGAAGGTACCCACTCCGCCCGCCTCGGCTTGTGGTCACCCGTCGGCAGGGCAGGAGTTGTGCTACTTGTGCCACCAGAGGGCGCGTATGAATGTCCCCGTCTCATTCACAGAGGAGAGGAAGCGGAGGGAGGAAGAGGAGGATCATCTTTTGCAGCAGTACCAGACCATGAAAGACGCGGAGGAGACTCTGAAGGACCAGGTATGCTTGTGATGATTGGCAGCGTCATGATCAGCTTCTGTTTATTGTCAGCATCATGATAGTGTCTGTTTATTGCATCATGACAGTATTTGTTTATTGTCAGTATCGTGAGAGCATCTGTTTATTGTCAGCATTTGTATTGTCAGCATCATGATAGTGTCTGTTTATTGTCAGCATCATGATAGTGTCTGTTTATTGTCAGCATCAGGATAGTGTCTGTTTATTGTCAATATCGTGACAGCATCTGTTTATTGTCAGCCTCATGACAGTATTTGTTTATTATCATTATCATGATCAGCTTCTGTTTATCATCAGCATCTTGACAGTATCTGTTTATTGTCAGTGTCATGATCAGTGTCAGTTTATTGTCAGTGTCATGATCAGCTTCTGTATATTGTCAGCATCTGTTTATTATCAATATCGTGACTAGCACCTGTTTATTTTCAGCATTTGTATTGTCATTGTCATGACCAGTGTCTGCTTATTGTCAGTATCATGACAGTATCTGTTTATTGTCAGCATCTGTTTATAGCCAGCATCATATTCCACATCTGGTTATGGTGAGCATCATGTTCAGTATCTGTTTATTGCCACCATTATGACCAGCGTCTGTTTTGTAATGGTTAACTCTTCACCTTGTACGCAGACCTGCCAAGTTCTCCAATAAAATTGGAGAGCTCTGAATTTTTTTGCCCTCCGAAGAACCGTGATCGGATGTGCATAAAATTAGATTTTTCTCCTGAATTCTGTTTCTGTCAAGCCAAATGTGACTGATCATAAATGAAGTGAAAATTCGCATGTTTAATTTCATGTATTTGCAATACACATTTATATTCTATGGATGGTTTGTTACATAAACTTAATTCACTGGGTTTTATGGAGACTCTGATTATGTTTTCTTACAAAGTCAGATGCTTTGGGAGGATTTTAAGGAAAGACTTAAGATTATACCAGTAACTCCCTATATTCAAAAGTTGGCGAGCACCTGATTCTATCTACCATGTCATGATTCACTTGGGTCAACTTTCTCGCAGGAGAGATACTACTCTCGTCGTCATGATCTACAAAAAATCTCGGCTTTCAATCTGGGAGTCTCTGAGGCTGTGCAAGCCAAGAAGAAGATGAAGGACACCGAACCGCAGGTAAGGTTAATGCGTGTATGCATGAGTGTGTTTTAGTTTTAGTTTTAGTAAGAGTTTTACAGCACTTGCAATCAAATAGGTCATATAAGTGCTGAAGATTAGAGATGTTAGGCCTACTTGACATACACATACGAAGAAAAGAAGGAATGGAGAGAAGGATGATAGGTGTTTGATGGGAAAGAAGAATAATACCACACCAGAGCACCCACCAACCACCCACCAAGTGTGTGTGAGTGTACACTCAAGTGTAATGTCGAGTTTCTGTATGTGCATATATGTATGTGGTGTCTCTGTGAGTGTGTTATTCAAAGTAACTGGATTTGGTAAGAAGTGTTAAAAAAAAATGAATTTGCAGTAATGCGGGAATGAAAACAATTTTTATTACCATGAAGAAGTAATTTTCGAGAAGTAAAATTAAAGAAGGGTGAACAAGTCTTGTGAAATCTGCTTTGGAATCAGAGATCTGGATCATAATGACCTAAATGAATGTAAAAGAGTGTTTATATTATTTATATAAGAAATATTCTTTTAAGCACTAATAAATCTGTCAAATAAGTTCTATTGATGTTGTAATATTTGTTGAATTTTCAAGGTAATTTTTTCTTGTATTTCTTTGCAGCGTGCCTATATTTTCAACAAGCGACCTTTAACACCATCACGCATGCCTAAGCAAGAGGAATACCTCAAAGATCTTGATAAACAGGTATAAGTTAATAATATTATGACCTCGACAACATGAACAGTCGCTCAATTCATTCCTGTTGAAGATATGTCCATGACTGCTTGTGTATTTATGTTTATTTAAAACAGAAAGTGAGAGAGAGGGAGAGAGAGAGGGAGAGAGAGAGATAGATAGATAGAGAGAGAGAGAGAGAGAGAGAACGAGAGAGAGAGAGAGAGGGGGAGGAGGTTGAATGGGAGAGAGGGAGAAAGGGAGAGAACGAGAGAGAGAGAAGAAGAAGAAGAAGAAGAAGAGAGAGAGAGAGAGAGAGAGAGAGAGAGAGAGAGAGAGAGAGAGAGAGAGAGAGAGAGAGAGAGAGAGAGAGAGAGAGAGAGAGAGAGCTGTAAGGGGATGGAACAGAAAGAAAAGACACATTCACCGACCCTCTTAGCCACGTACATGCTTACAATCACACATATAATAGACTGACACAAAGAAATGCTAACACACCTACCAACACTCATGTATGCAAACCAAAACCACCGCTAAGAACTTGACTTCAGTGTTGCACCTAACCAAAATGTATTTTGTAAGATTATTAAATATATATTTACCAGCTTCTGTGGTATAGCGGTTAGTAGGTGCTTTGCCATCTCATGCAGGAGACCCAAGTTCGATTCCTAAGTTGTGAGAATTTTAATCGAGTATGTTGTGGTCTTTTTGATGGGATGTTGCATCCTTTTCATCCCAGGTTGGTTCGAACAGGCTGGGTTGAAGCCAGCCTCCTAAGTGATCTAAATTGTGTCAATGGGGACATGAAAGCACCTACATAAATGAAAATGAAGTAAGAAAATAAAAATGTAGCCTATATATAATCATGAATTTTTTCTCTTTGTTCAAAGGTTGTTGCAAAGGAAACGGCGAAGCAAAGGAAAAAGACTGATGAAGAATTCTTAGAGAGACTTGAACAAGTGCAGTTAGCCGAGGAGTAAGTCACTTTTAGTGATCTGTCTGTGTGTCGTAATCTCCATGACAAAATTTTACATCTGAACGGCCGGCTGATGATACATTAATTTTGTTTCTTGATAGCTGTCGATAAATTATTCCAGTCTCGTCCAAAGGGATTTGAGAAATTTGATATTATCCTGAAGGTTATTTTAAAATGCATATTGTTGACCAGCTGTTCAGATGCACTAAGCCCCCAATTTTTTTTTTTCTTCAATTTCTTAATCTGTAGTGTAGCTTGCTCGTGCTGTAGAAATTATTTTTATTTTTGACATTCAGATTCTAAACGTTGAAAAAAAAAGCATGAAAAAGTAAATACGATAGGTATAGTATAATCTTTTAAAGACAAATCTGTTTTTTTTTTTCTTCTGAAAAACTTTGCTCACTGGGTTTAGAACAGTTGAACAACTTGCCAACAAAATGTAAAAGAGAAGACAAGAATGGATGAATTGAGAGTCAAGATTCTTTCTGCGATAGAGAATGTTACCTCCTGGGAATGTAGGACAGATAAGAGAGAGATACCCCAAGGGAAATTACTGGGTTTGTTTACTTAGCATGGGTAGCAACAAGAGTGGGCACTCTCAGATTGTTTTTAGGATTATAAGAATGATATTGATTTTTTTTACACTCTCTCTCTTTCTTTCTCTCTCTCTCTTTCTCTCTCTCTATCTCTCTCTCTCTCTCTCTCTCTCTGTCTCTCTCTCTCTCTCTCTCTCTCTCTCTCTCTCTCTCTCTCTCTCCCTCTCTCTCATTCTTTCTGTTCATGTTCTATTTCTCTTTGTCTCTTTCTATCTTTCTCTCTCTTTCCATCTCTGTCTTTCTCTCTTTATCTCTGTCTTTCTCTCTATCTCTCTTTTTGTCTCAATCCCTCTCCATCACTCTATCTCTATATCCCCCTCACTGCCTTTGTCTGTGTCACTCCATCTTCCCCAGCTTTCTTTCTTCTCGTTTCAAATTTTTTCTCTCTACTTTTCCTTCTTATTTTTTTCTTTTCTAATGGCCTTCTCTCTTCTCCTCTCTTTATCTTTTCCTGCTCTATCTTTCACTCCCCTACTTTAAAAAAATCCCTTTCTTTCTGTTCCACTTTTCACCTCCCCTATCCTCTTTCCTCCAACCACCATTCAAAAACTGAGGATCAATACGTAAATAAAACGTGCATAATTATCTTTGACTTGACGGTATAAAGTATATGAAAATAATGGGAGTCCACTTGAACTAAACACAGTTAATCCAAAAACATTGTCAGTAAGCCGAAAGGAAATAAACCCCTCCATTTTTTCTTCTTTATTTGAGCTTACTTACTTTTACTTTTATCCGCCGCTTATACCCTTTTGGGTGTCGTGGGAAGAAAGAGACATCTCTCTGCCACCAGCCGGAGAGCTTTGTTCATGGGGATGCCATGAGTTGTTAGTGTTTCCCTCACTCCATCTATCCAGGTCTTTCTCGGTCGTCCTCTAGCCTTGTTGCCATTGAATTTTTTTATGTAGGCACGTTGTGCTGGATGGTGTGTTGGTAATCGTATGAGGTGTCCAAACCATTTGATTCTTTGGTGTTGGATGTGATGCATGATATCATCTGTGACCACCTTTTCTCTGATTACTGTGTTTCTAATTTTGTCTCTCCTGGTCTTGTTTATTGCTTTTTTAAGACATCGTATTTCACATGTTGTAATTCTTTGCTTTAAAGTCTTGTTCGTGGTCCATGTTTGGCACTGATAGGTGAGTGTTGGGATGAATATAGTGTTGATCATTTTGAGTTTTGTTATCATGGGGATGTTAAGATGTTTCAGTAGTGGAGTAAGCTGGTAACTAACATTATTGGCCTTTAGTACCTGTGTTTCAATTTCTCTGTTCAGTCTCCTATCCTCTGAATATACTTTCGAGGTACTTAAATTCTTGGACATGTCTGAGATTGTTGTTGTTAATGTGTATCCTGAGTGGTCTTGGCTTTCTGCTTACTTTCATTGTCTCTGTTTTGTTGATGTTGATCTTCATGTCGTAGTTGTTACATTCTTGGTTTAATTTAGTGGTGTGGTGTTGGAGACTTTTTTCATCTTTGTGTGCCAGGCTTTGGTCATCAGCGAAGAATAATTCATTTCGGGCATCTGGTTCTGTGTTGGCCTCTTTTGTAATTCTATCCATAATATATATGATAAATAGCAGTGGTGATAGGACACAACCTTATCTTTTTTCGGATGTTATCTCGAACCATTCTTTATTTGAGCAATCCCTCTAAACTGAAAACATGGTTGCATTGCAGTAAATCTGGAAGGCCCTTTGATTTTATTTTAAGCAAACTCCACTTTATATACAAATCTATTCTTTGTGTACGATAAATTGTAGCCAGAGAATTCTGAAGGCAAGGCTGAGCACTTAACACTGAATCCTGTGCGTGTCTTTTCCTCTCTCTAGCCTGGCCGCTCAAAGAGAGCAGTACCTGAGGGACAAGGTGGACTCCACAGAGACCTACAAGAAGGCTTTGGAGGCACAGGTGAGGAACTTTTGTAGCAGTGACTAGTCAGTGGTTTCACTCAAGGAACCAATTGCACAAATTCAGAAGTAAAAGAGAAAATTAGTGGGAAAAAATGCTATTCTTGTTTTCAAACTCATAGAGGAAGTTGGTTTACAATGACTGTTTTATGTTTAATGTTACATCAAAGTTTGTTGTTTGTTTGAGAAAATAAAAGGGAAACAAGAAAAAGACAATGATGAAAAGAAACCATGAACCCAAATACTAAAAAAGTAATTGCTGATCACAGTAATGCAATGCCTCATTAAAAATTTAAATTAATTAGCCAGGGTACAATGTTTTGTTTTAGATAACTGACCATTGGGGCCTTTTGTCCTCCTAAGAAAGAGATGAAAGATTGACATGCCATAATATGATAACATAGTGATGAAAACAAGTGACTGAACTAGTGTGTATTGCTTTTGATAGTTGCCCATTGGCCATAGCAGAAGCCACAAATCATCTGAACCTTTATTTCTCTGTAAGAAATATTCTCTCCTGAGATACATTGATTATTGTCCCACATTGACAGATGAACCATTATTATTGTTGCTAAAAGACAGTTCTCTTTCTTAAAGAAAATGGCTGAGGATTCTGCTTAATATGATAGGGATACCTCAGCAGCTTAACTGGATTTAGAATGGTGTCTGTTTTATTGGTTTCACCAAACGTTGTCCATTTTATTGCTTTACCAGTGACAGCAGCTTTATCATTTTAAAGATTTTAAAAGTGGTGGCAGTTTCAGGTTTAAAAAAATCCAATGGTTGGTTGTATCATGTTTTTACACCCCCCCCGATAATGGCAGTTTTATTATCTTAACAAAGAAGGCAGTTATTGCATTTCTTTCATGTTTATGATAGTTTTTTTTTCTTTCTCCTTTTCAGCTGAGGTTCAAGCCAATTCCTATGCCCGAGAGAGAGCCAGACTATGAAGTTTTCGGCAAAAATGACATGACCAATGAGAAGATGGCGGAGCGTCGGCGTCGAGCGTTCAACCTGTTCTCGGAGCAGCAGGCCCTGGTGGAGCAGAGGAAGAGGGACACCATCTTGTCACGCCTGGCTGAGCAGCAGAAGGAGGAACAAGTGCTGGACAGGGCCAAGAAAGAGTGAGGGGCTTTGGATTTTTTTCTTCGTCCTTCTCCTCTTTTTCCTCCTTTTCTTCCTCCTCTTCCTTCTCCTTCTTCTCATTTTATTTTTCTTCCTCTTCTTCTTCTCCTCCTCTTCCTCCTCCTCCTCCTCCTCCTCCTCCTCCTTCTTCTTCTCTTCTTCTTCCCCTACCCCTCTTCCTCTTCCTACTGCTGCTGCTGCTGCTCCTTCTCCTCAAACATTAAATGCTTGGAAAAGGTATTCACCTGTCTCAGACTTATGCCACTGTTTTCTCACTCTCACAGAGGGTGTTTTTGACTGGCATGCCAGGCCAAGTGACCACTCTCATAAGCCCTTTGGCTGGGTGGGCTTTTATCAACAATTTACCCCTCTATCACTATAGGCTTCTATTTTCCTGTCTCACTTGGTGAGTTTTAATGTGCAGCTGCCTGTAAATAATATTTTTTTAAAGCAAATCCAAGAAGATCTGGAGAGAGAGTAAGAAAGTGAGAGATTATATATCTCTGCAGTGCTCTCAGTTTGAGCTGTGAACTGTGAGCTGTTTCACAGTTTTGATATTTGTGTAAATTCAATGCAGCTAGTGGGTGGTTAACAGGTGCTCTCCTGTGATTTGCTCCTTCTTTCCTATCAAACATCTATGGTCCTTGACTCTCCTTCTTCTTATATTTGAATGTCACATTCTAGGAACACCTCTTATCCTTGGCACTTATATAATGACCTACTTGTCTTGCAAGTGCTGTAAAACTCCTATCAAAACTAAAAACGCTTCAATATTGCTATAGATGTGTCTGCAGGCAAAAGGAATTATTATGCTTTCCCTTGTCCTCTCTACAAAAACTATTCACAATATTGCTATAGATGTGTCTGCAGACAAAGGGAGTGATTAAGTTTTCCCCTCTCCTCTCTTACAGTCTGGTTGACGAGAGGACCTTCAAGCACGTTGTGCGTTTCGACACCAGAAGGAGGCTGGAGACCGATTGGCAGAGGATGGCGGAGACTAAGCGTGCTCGTGAGCTCGAAGACCGACTGCGCTCTCTCAGCCCTGGAATTTTGCTGCACGAGCAGTGCGACCGCTACAACCGCTGCCGACAGTGCAAGCGACGTGTGCACAACTGTGGCGAGACCAACATCTGGAGCGAGTCGAGGTACATTCCGGGCTCCAGGATCATGGTGTGAGTCCCTCCGTGCCTGTCTGGTGGTCCCATCATGCTCGTGTGGTGGGCTTGTGCCACTCCAAAAAGTCTTTGATCCCAGTGTAAACACAGGAAGGAGTCTTGATTACAATCCCCCCCC